CGCCCTGCCCGAGCCGCTGCGCGCCGGCGAGCGCCTGGCGCTGGAGGTGTCCTACTGCACGGGCGACGGGCCGGGGGTGAGCGCCCTTGGCCCTCCCCTCCCCTCCCCTTCCCTTCCTCCCTCCGCCGCCTCTGGCCTGGCAAGTGCTGGCCTTCAGGCAGGAGGTTTGGTAACCCACAGGGCTGCCAAGTCCTGCATCCTCAGAGCAGGGAGAAGCAGGAGAGCGGGGTCCTGTCCTGTCCTGTCCTGTCCTGTCCTGTGCTGTGCCCCCTCCTTCTCCCTGCCTCGCCTCTCCCATCTGGACTCAGTTTCCGGCGCTTCAGCAAAACCCGGGGCATCCGAACCCTGCGCCTCCGGGCTTGGGCCTGCACGGAGGATGCTTGCCAAAGGATTTGGGAACATCTCAAGCCCTAGGTGTGGGCGGAGGATGTTTGCCGGTAATAGGGCCACTTATTCATAGATTCCATAGACCAGGGGTGGGCAAGATGCCAGTCTATCCGGCCCGCGGGGCCCCTAAAAAATGTAGAAAATTAATATTGATCTGCCCCTAGCTGCCTGTCATGCGGGCTTTGATGGCTTGGCAAAACTCAGTAAGTGGCCCTTCACCCGGAATAATTGCCCGCCCCTGTCATAGATGTAGAGCTGGAAGGGACCTCGACGATCATCAAGTCTAGCCCCCTGCCCCCGGGGCAGGAAGTCAGCTAGGGTCAAAGGATCTCAGGGGATCCTTATGGTGCTGGACTTGGGTTTGGAATTAGTTTGGGCTGATTGAGCCTTGGATACAAATTATATTAAAAAAAAAAAATCTCCCTATCTTACCCCAGAGCCTTCCTGTCAGATGAGGCAGCCTCAGCGTGGAGTGTGGGTAGGACTTGGCCGACTGCCTTTCCTGCCCCGTGGAGAAGTCCTAGTTTGTAGCAAAAGGCAGGGATCGGGGACAGGCCCAATCGGCCTGGAACCGAATGGCGCAAGCATCATGTTGCACCAAGCGGAGCCTGTTGCCTTCTTGGTTGGGATCATTGGAAAGCTTTCTGCTTCCAGCCTTTTTCTGGGGAATTGAGTCTCTGGATATTTCATAAGGACGTTCGAGTCACCATCTTTGCCGTGGGCAGAGAAGCGGGTCACTGTTATTATCTGCTTCCAGAAAGCGAGGCCTGCTCGTTGATAATTGCTCTGTTCCTTGCTGTGTTAAGTAATGCAAATCGGTGCTAGACTCCAATCTGTCAAGAGTCAAAATGTAAGCATCTCCTTTGCTTTGCAGAACAAGGCTACTTTGTCAGATCTCTTAGCCCGGCCCCTCCCTGCCCAACACACTCCTGTTTCAGTAGTTAAAGGAAGGTCTTCAAAGTTTTCATGAAAGAAGAGCTAATAATAATTAAGCTGTAGAGCCACCGTAACAGACTAAAGAGGTGGACTATAAAAGCATAGCAGCTGGGCATGGTGATCTAGCTGGAATCAGTCCAACCTGTGCTTCTTTGTGGAGGTTCAGTGGTCACTGCTAAACTTGGTTGCTTTTTTGGCGTATGATGTTTTTATCCCATCAGACCCTAGGTATTGATGTTCTGAGGCAGTCGTCCTGCAAAGTTAGTCCTTTGTGTCCAACCTGGACAAAACCTGAAGGGGTTGCACAGCCCTGAGCCACTGAGCAGTTGGTCTCTGAAGAAACTTAGGCAAGCTTTTGAGATTAGTTCCTGCTCTCACCTCACTTGTGCCAGCCTCTTAGATTCAGGCCAAGATTGCAAGCTTGTCTGGGCCAGACTCTGATCTCTGTTCCACAGTCCCATATTGGCACTGTTATTCTAGCTGTATGCTGGAAAACATGGAATCAAAGCCCAGCCCAAAATAACTTCCCTTGCTAGAAGTTGTGTTTGTTTGGTTTGCTGAAGTGTTTGGTGCACCTGCTTTCCCACTCTGGAAATGGTTTGCCAGAATAGATATATAGTCACACCAACCAACCTGTCCCTTGGCAGACATTTCTAGTGGAGGCATCCCATTCCCCCCGGACAGAATCAGTTGTACCTTGCTGGAATAAGCACATTTAAGCTGGGGTGCTTACCCGCATCAGTCAGTGGTATGGATTTCCTGTCTCTCTTCCCCCATACTCCTGTTATTGCCCTGCTGGGCCAGGGTTGCACTAGGAAAAAGTTTTTTCTGATGAAGTTGTTAGTTACTAGCTGTAAGTGGCACATCCATTAAGGAGTGACCTGTATATAGAGGTAGCTGTACTGGAAAGCACTCCTTTGTAGATAAGATACACCCAGGGGAAAGCTTGATCAGATTGGAGTTTATCACCACAGGGAAAATGATATCTGGAAACATAGCAGTAGAGAAATACCAGGGCAGTTGTGCTGCTATAAGTCTCCATGTGCACATTTATTCTAGAATAAAATGGCTTTAAGCTGGTATAATTACTCCTTTTTGTTAATCGTATCATTTGCTTTGAAGACAACTCCCTGAGTAGGCCAAGAGCTGAACATAACTGGATGTTCTGTGGCTGGCCACAAGCATGTTTCTTTTTTTGAAGAGGATGTGCTGCATTTTTGTTCACCATGCTAGTACAATTTGAGAGGATGCCCCATTTGTTTCATAGTGAGGCCTACCTTGTGGTTTTGGTCAATGATTCTGACTTTTAACCCTGCTGTCCCGTTTGATTTCACTGACCCTCCTTCTCCTTATGCCTGCTGCTGCAGATATCCTGGCTGGATTCTTTCCAAACAACTCAGAAGGAGAAGCCTTTCCTTTATACTTCTGGCTTTCCTGTGCTCAACAGGTCCTTTTTCCCTGACTTTCACACTCCAGCCACAAAGAGCAGCTATTCTGCAAGGATCCAGGTAAAGTTTCCCATCCCTCACATAAAGCTGTCTCTTGTTTCTCATCAGGTTTGTTGGCTCACTCCCGAGCAGACAGCAGGGAAGCAGAAGCCCTATATGTACACTCAAGGCCAGGCCGTCCTGAATAGATCCTTTTTCCCTGGCTTTGACACCCCTGCAGTTAAAAGTACATATTCAGCCACAATAAAGGTAAGCAACGCCCTTAGAAAGATATAAGGGCACAAATGAGATCATCTGTATAAACCTCATATAGGGCTGAACATTCACTACAGGTGCGTCAGTCCATAAATGTTCAAGGGAGAGTTGTTCGCAAGCTGTTTGAAGATAACTAACTTTATTGAAATAAATTCTGGGAAGCACTGAAACGTTCGTCTGTCACATCCAGTACCAAGGGCGTTGCAAAAGTTCGGTTCTTGCAGAGTTTCCAGAAGGATTGGGGCCAATATTTCTCAATGTGGGTTTTTCACTGTCATGCTGTTCCCACTCTTTCTGTGACGAATAATCCCACTTTTAACTTTGCATTATTCTTGAAGGATGCTCTGCCAAAAATTCTCTTCAGTACCACCACCACCAAGACAGGTCATGGACAGTATTTTTGTTTATCTTTTAATGAGAACTAAAGAGAACCTGGGAAGTTTTTATTTTGAAAGGAAAAAAGCATTTTTCTCTTTGATATTTTTTTTAACCTTTTAGAAACCCAAATGTCAAATCTGATGACTTTTGCTTTTGCTGCGTGACCTGTGGGTTGGAATGGATTTGGAGTGTGTAGAGCTGAATTTTGAACAATAATCCAAATTATTGATTGGTAACTGGAACTAAGTTAGCATTAACATACCTCTGTCTTTTTTCCCCTCATGATAATATGAGTGCCCCTCAGATCCTATAAAATGCAGTGAACTCTTATTAATTTGCATTCCAAGGGGAATGCAAATAATGCCAAGTTATCCTGTAGTGGCAGATTATCAGGAATTGAAAACTGGGGGGAGCTGTTAGGGAACAGGAAAAACAGTGAGTTAAATTATAGTGCAAATTATCCCATAGGCAAATTAACTTGAGTTGACTGTAGAGGCATCTTGCTTTCTCCAGGCAAATTGTTTTAGAGAAATAGTTTTGTTGGCTTATAGGGGGTTTTGTGTTTGCATGTGAAGAATTATGAAGTGCCTAGTGCAATCTCTGGACAACTGTGGACTGCTGAACATGGCCTCACAGACTACTGCAGCTTGGGATCTGCTGCTATAAGGTCTTGCAGTACTCAAGACCTGACTTTTTAGTGGAAAGAACATCCCAAAAAATGGCCTTTCTGACTCTTGATTGCAACGTAAGAAATTAAATGGCATAAATTGTGTATTTTTTTTCAGGCTACATACAAAAGTTGGCTTCATGACAGCAGGCTTGTTGCAGACTCTGCTACCTGTGCTGTTGTCCTGCATTGCTTTTTCTGTGTCCCATCATGAGCCCCTTCAAGCAGAGACTCTCTTGCTTTGTTTCATGAATTTTCAATTATTTGGATGCCCCAGGGCAGCAATTATACAAGTACAAGCCAGTATGGTACATGGCTTGAGTGTACAATTAATGTTCTTTACCATCCCCAGTGAGTAAATGTTGCATCCATATCGGGCAACCTGAATGGCCAAAAGTGAAGTTGGCATGGTGGGCCTAGCAGCATGCAGTGGTTCGGTACAAAACCTTGATAGATGAACAGTGCCAGTTGAGGCACCAGTTGGAAGCCATTGGTTTCAATTTCCAGATTGTTAACAAAGTAAAAAACTCAACAGACTCATGAAACCTAAGTGATCACTACCAATAGCAGGGACTTTTGCATTTAATGAGAGATCTTGCTTATAAAGAGAGGTGAGAAAAGGAAGGGTGGGTTTGCAATGTAACTATACTACGCACCTTTCCCACTTCTGCCCTAGACTTCTTTTGTAATCTTGGGCACGTCACTTCTGTTACATGAGGATAGGGTTTCTTTCTCTCATGCTTTGTGTTGTCTTTATACTGAGGCCTCTGGGGCAGGAGTCCCTCTGTGCACATACAGCACCTGGCACGTTGTGCCCATTCTGAGTTGGGATCCTTAAGTACTACTCTTTTATATAGATAGGAACAAATATTCACAGGACGGTGATGCAGACAGTGATGTGAGCACACCACTGTACTTCCAAACAACTCTCTTTATATGCTCCTGAGAATATGAGATTATGATTGAAAAGCTCAGCTTTGTCAAAGCTGTGGTTTCTGCAGTGTTTTTGCAGGAGAAAGAGGCCCTGCAGGGTTCTTTTGGCTTTTTTTTAAATAAACGGAAAAATATTGCCTATATTTTCCTGCTTGGATAACTCCAAATCAGCCACCTGGAGCTGTTGTAAACTTGCTGGCGCTGACCAGGAAGGAGAGCTTTCTGCAGCTCTTGTCCTCCTGGCAGGATCTGTTGGTGCAGCTGGCTTAGGCCTAGTCTGTACCAAACTGTTTGGCTGGTAGAAGTCCAGTGCTGCTGGCAAAACACTGAATGCATCCACACCCAGAGCTCCTCTGTGGTGGCAGATATGCCCTTCTCTGGGCAGTTATAGCACTTCTGTGGGGTAGGGTAAGTTTGCTGCTGTCAAAGACACGTGTAGGCACTCCTGTGCCTTTGGCTGTCACGGTCTCTTCAGCAGCTGGTGCCTCCCCAGGGTGCGTTTCACACTTGGGCAGCTTCACTGCTGAGTGGAGCCACACAGTGCCACCGATGCACATAGATGTGTACGTGCTCTGGATGCTTGGCAGGGGTGGCTGCCGGCTGCTAACAAAACTTCTGTCGTACTGTGATACTGGCCTCTTCCAGAGGAGAGTGGGAGTTAGCTCAGAGCCAAGAAGTGTGAGCTTTTCTTCTTGACGGACTGTTGTTCTGAGTTTTATGGTGGAAGAACCCTGCACAGCATACTTGCTATTCAGGAGGGAGTGTTACTTTGCTCAGTCATAAGGTGAAGCAGTCAGAGCAAGAGAGATGCTAGGAACATCTCTAAGAACCTGCTGTGTAGTGTTCGTGTCTTAGCTCCCTTCTTGTTACAATGTCTTGTGACCCTGGCTCTGCAGTGGCCAGGGTTAAATTGCATTAAAGCACCAACCTGAGTTTCTGAGGCACAGAACAGCTGCAAGCCCAGTTGCAGCTATTGGGAGCCATGTGTCCTCAGCCCCTCCAGAAGATCAGGATGCTGGTTCTTAGAGCTGTAGTGTGTCCCTGCAGCAGGCTATGATCCAAGTTTCAGGCCTGCATGTTCAGTGAACAGCCAGGCTACAAAGGGTTATCTCCATGTTAGGTTATTTCCATATTATAATATAGTGGCCTACCAAGGTAAGGCTTGTGACCTGGATAGAACTGAGCACTCTCTAGTTCCTTGCCTTTTTCAGTCTTCTTTGAAATGCTTCACTTTTGACTTTAGTTTGCAGGCAGCTGCTGCTTTTGCCTCTGCCGGTCTGTCAGGAGAAATCTGTGTGCTTTTCGTACGTTGTCAGGCTGTGATGCCTGAGAAACCTCTAGAACAGCAGGGTTGAGTATGGCTCAGAAATACTTATTGCAGTAAACCATAAATTAATTGAAATCCAGCTATTAACCTAATCTGTCCCCCAATCCACTGGAGCCTGTTTATGGGTGTCTCTTTTGCCAGGTCCCTGAGGGCTTCACAGCTATGATGAGCGCTACGACCTGGGAGAAGCAGGAGAAAGACAACACATTCATCTTCAAGATGTCCCAGCCAATTCCCTCCTACTTGATTGCTTTGGTTATTGGTGACATTGTTTCTGCTGAAGTTGGTCCAAGGTAAGAGGCTGTCTTCTTTAGTCGGGGATTTAGGCTTCCAGCTGTGCAGCAAGGGCTATTGTCTTGGTTGTAGTTTATGAGAGAAGGGCTTGCCTGCTCAGAGTATATCACTAGAAACAGAGAAACCTCCCTTAGGCTCTCAGGCTGCATCCAGACATGCAGGGGCATGCACTTGCAGTGGGACAAATTGCCGCAGTGCACCCCCCTGCATGTGCACTTCATTTCAGGACAAACTGTCCTGCAATGGTCAGCTCCTTCCAGCTCTTGGCCAGCTCTTGAGCCAGGGAGAGCTGCAGGCTGGGGCCTGCACCTTTGCTGGCTCCAGCAGTCTTACCTGGTGGCCTGGAGCAGCAGGGGCACAGGTCGGGTGGCACAGAGGTCTGGCTGGCAGCTGGAGAATTGCTCTGGATGGCCTGGCCTGTGTATATTAGTGTAATGCAGGCGCAACAAGCCTTTTTTTTGGCGGGGTGGGGATTGCTAGCAGGAAATCCAGCAAAAGTTCGGTGGGAGATGTCACAATGCCAGAAACAAAGGACAGTAGTACGTATTTTTACACTTCCTTATGTGTGTATACATGGCTTTCAGAATGGAGCTTATTGCATGGTTACAGTGACATTATGGTCTTTCTCCCATTCAAAGGGGCTCTTTGTTGTGAGGTAGAAAGTATTCAAAGTCACATAAAGGCATTGCACCCCTGAGTATTATTGTCTAATTCCCTGTGTTACTTTGAATACATCCCCCAAACTAATCTACCCAGAGGGCTCTTCAAACTGTTACTGTTGAATCCTTGACAGGTCACAAGATAGTGCTTACCTGCTTCAGATAAATACACTGCTATTTTTTTTCTTCCCCCAAGTTGTCTTAGTTTGTTCATAGATTTATCTCAGTGCCCAGCAGCCATTATAAAGGCAACAAAATGTTAGGGTTTTTTAAGAAGTGAAGTGTAAAAGAAGGGAAGTGTAAACAAAATGGGAAGTATCGTGATGCCCCTTTATAAATTTATGATGCGTCTACACGTTGAATATTGTCCCCAATTCTGGTCTGCACACCTCAAAAAGGATATAAAAGAACTAGAGAAGGGCCAGAGAAGGACAACAGGGATGATTAGTGGTATGGAGGGGCTTCCATATGAGGAGAGACTAAAGAGATTAGGCCTGTTCAGTTTGGAAAAGTGATGCTTGAGGGGGGACATGATAAGGGTTTACAAAATACTAAATGGGGATTTATTTACTATCTCAAACAATAGCTGGGGTCATTACATGAAATGAGTAGACAGCAAGTTGAATAAAAAGTCTTTTTTTTATGCAGCCTATCATTAAAATGTGCAATTCATTGCCACAAGATGGGGTTTAAGCACAAATAGACAGTTTAACCGGCTTCAAAAAGTGATTGGACACATTCTTGGAGGAAGGGTGCATTAGAAGGTTTTGAACACAGGAATTAAGGGTACAGTCTCTGAATCAGAACTTCCTAGACCTTAAGTGTGCAAGTGGGAGAGGAGCAGGGGAAAACCCTGGTCATACCCTGTTCACTCTCCCTTTCAGCATCCACTCTCTGCCACTGTATGAGACTGGAGACTGGGCAAGATGGACCACGGGCCTGGCCTAGTAAATGCCAGTTCTTATGTTCTTATTCATGGATCTTAAGGCCAGAAAGGACAATGAGATCATTTGATCTGACTTCAGACCTTGTTTGCTTGTTACTAAAGATCGAGAGTGCCCACGGGTGATAAATATCACATTAGCTTCATTGATTGCCTGACTTTTGTTTTTCTTTGGAACGGTGCTGTTATCAACCGGCAGAGGGCTAAGGTAAAAGTCCATTAACAGTTTAAACACTCCAATTCTACATGCTCAGCAAAATGCATTCCCTCCTATAGTAGCAAACTGCTGAGTTGTAATATCTATGGGACTGTGTAGGTGTGCAGCGGAAAGGGGCACTGAGGCCAGCACTCTGGAGAAGATGAATGTTCTCCATGGGTCAGTAGCCTAGCGAGTGATGGGGCAAGGCCTCTTCAGAGGTATGTTTCATTTGGAATTGGAAGCTGTCCTTAATGCACCAGAAGGTGATAGAGGAACCCCCTGTGCATCACCAGGGTTGGAAGGCACGATGCCAGAGTGCCGATTGGACTGCAGAGCATAGCTACACTGAAGCTTGTATGCATATACCTTCATTAGCTTTTAACAAGCTAATTTGGTTACTGCTAATAGTGTAGCTGCAGTGACACAGAGCTCAACATGAGCTTCAAAATCCGCAAGCAGTTAACTCTCCCTGAATTCCATGTACCGCGACTGCACTGCTAACAGGGCCCAACTGGGTAGTTTGAAGCTGGCTTAGATCAGTCTACACAGCCTGCGGTCACTGCATACTCAAGGTCCCAAGCTGCTTAGCACTGATGAAGTTTGCTGTAGGTCTCTAAACAGTGACTGTCACAGAGAGTAGAAAGGTGCTAGCAAGGAATCTCCTCTTTTTCAAAGTGTGTTTATGGGGGGGAGGAGGACTGGACTCAATGCTCTAGAAGCCCCTTTCTTACACACCTTTTCCAAAGGGTTTTTGGAGACCTTGACATCACATGAAAGGTTTTAAAGGGTCCTTTTGCATTTTTGGAAACTCCCTACCGTGGATCACATGCATTTGGTATGGCTAAAATGTGGAGGATACAATTTGCACAGAGAATTCTAATAGCTGTGTGCCGCGGCAACATGAATCCCATTAAAGGGCCAGAGTCAACTTAGAATCATAGAAAATTAGGATTGAAAAGGACCTCAGGAAGTCATCTAGTCCAACCCCCTGCTCAAAGCAGGACCATCCCCAACTAGATCATCCCAGCCAGGGCTTTGTTGAGCTGGACCTTAAAAACCTCCAAGGATGGAGCTTCCACCACCTCTCTGGGTAACCTGTTCCAGTGATTCACCACCCTCCTAGTGAGAGAGTTTTTCCTAATATCTAACTTAAACCTCCCTTGCTGTAACTTGAGACCATTGCTCCTTGTCATGTGTCACCACTGAGAACAATCTAGATGCAAGGAACTTGACCCATCCCTTTTCATGTAAAAGTCATGTGTATAGAACTGGTAACAGGATCTCAGTAGCTGGCACCTTATAAGCATCCCATTTCCTCTTGGTGTTTTGTTACTTCACCTTGTATATCTAGCACCACTTCCTATAGAGTGAGGATCACTGTTTCATTGATCTCTCTGGAAAAGAAGGTGTTTACTAACATGCAAGGGACTGAGCAGAAGGAAGTTTGCACAGTTAAAGGGTATGAAGTGAGGAAGAGGGTGGGCCAGAGCCAGTGCTGGTTTTTAGGTGCCTCTTGACTGGCACTGGCTGTCCTAATGAGTGCACCATGCAGCAGTTCATGACATAGGCAGTGCCTGTCTGTGCTCCAGAGCCCCTGTCACTACAACTCTGCCAGCAGAGCTGTCCACTGGAGACACGGTGATTGCAAAAAAAAATTCTGCCAGTTATCATTTCACCCCCTGTTCCCTGAATGGCATCATCTGCACTGAGGGAAGCCCTCTTCTGTCAGCCTAGCTGTGTCTATACCTTGTTCAGCCAAAACAGCTACCTTACATAAGGTGTTGACAATGCTGTGCTAGCAGAATGATGTAGCATGTGCCTGGTCATCACCTTGGCCTTTCAGTCTGAACTGAGCCTCTCCTCATATCTGTTGTGTTCAGGGCTCTTTCTTTGCTCTCCGTAGGAGCCATGTCTGGGCTGAGCCATGTCTGATTGAGGCAGCTAAGAAGGAGTATGATGGCGTGATTGAAGAGTTCCTGGTGGTTGGGGAGAAGCTATTTGGACCATATGTTTGGGGCAGGTAGGCTCACCTGGCCAGAAGTCACCAGGATGCCTTGATATATCTGGGGCTGTTTCCAGTGTCATGTTTGGCCAGCATGCATCAGGGCTGGGGAGGGAGAGTTGTTCAGGGTCTCCCAACAGGAAGGAGATGGCTCCTTACTGACCTCTTAGCATTTCTTTGATAGGTACGACGTTCTGTTCATGCCACCGTCGTTCCCCTTTGGTGGGATGGAGAACCCCTGCATCACCTTCGTGACCCCCTGCCTGTTGGCTGGAGACCGCTCCCTGGTGGATGTCATCATCCACGAAATCTCCCACAGCTGGTTTGGCAACTTGGTCACCAATGCCAACTGGGGGGAGTTCTGGCTGAATGAGGGCTTCACCATGTACGCGCAGAGAAGGATCTCCACCGTGGTGTTTGGTGAGCACCCTGCCCCGACCAAAGGCAGCAATGCTCTGGGCTGCCACTTGATTTTTGTAGGAAGAACTCTGCCCCACAGGGGCCCACTGACTTCACTACTTCTCAGTGCAGATAGCGGGGTGACTGCATATGTGACTGCGGAGTTGCATCTGAATTTGCCAGCTCAGTGCTATTCTAGCTCCTACACCCTCTAAAAAGCAATAGAATTATTTAAGTGCCTTCTTAATGGAGACACGCTAAGAGAAAGGGTGGGTGGAGTGTTAACCTTCTTGTTTTCAGAGACTTTTTCCCCTTTTATTCTGTATACTTCTGTATACTTAAAAGCTTCAGTCTCATCTGCCTTTAGGCACCAGAGAATGGACAGTGTGACAAAACCCAGACAACCAGGAAGTGAAACCCACTGAGATGGGAACCAACATATTTTTAATTCAGACAGTTTAAAACTGTTGGATTAACGTCACTCAAATGCCATGTGAGCCCCTGGAAGAAAAATTCTCTATAATGAAGCTTCATCTGCTTTTAATCAGGGGCCAGGCATTTGCTGAGTGCATATCTGGAGACCTGCTGCAAGCCAGCTGCCAAAGCCAGGGCAGAGCAGGCTTCACATTCACTTTTACAGTGTGAACCCTGCCTTATGAATCTGAAATAATTAAGAGTAGCTCTGCACAGACACCCTTGCTCCTACCTTTACAGTCTTCTTTGAAGAAAAGCAGCCATGCTACCCGAGGACAAGGCCATAGCCCTGTCAGCTGTGGCTGCATGTGCGGATGGAGCACATGACTTGTAAGCACTTCCCCAAATGCTGGTTTCAGAGCATGCTGCAGCCTTAGTGGGGGAGTTCACCCTATTTGCTGTGTTCTCAGTGTAATGCAGTAGGCAGGGTCTGTAGGTCAGCATTTGGGGTTATTTGTTTAGAGATTTTAAATGTTGTTGCAGCCAGGCTGGTCCATGGAATATGCAAGTAGAGTTTGTTTAGTAATGTCTTTTATTGGCCCAGTAGTCTAGTTGGGAGAGATGTCAGACAGCTGTCGGGTACAAAATCCAGACCTGAGGAATGGCTTTTTTGTGCCTGGAAGCTTATCTAGCATCTCTCCCAGCTATAGAATTGATCCAATAAAAGATATTCCCAAATAGTTCTTGCTGCTGGTTCAAGGCTACTAAAGGCAGCCTTGAAGAGGTGAGGAGAGCTGCATTCCCAAGAGAGAGGCTGTGCAGAGCTCACTTTTGAGTTTTAGCCTCTGAGCCTGAAACAGCAGGGTAGAACTCCCCAAGGGACCAGATTCTGTTCTAGCTACTGGATATTTAAGCGGATTCAGACACTTAAGTGCGATTTTTGTCCCACCCTGCTCAAGTTCTGTAAATTCATGAATGCTTCTCCTTTTTGTGGGTGTAGGTTGTAACTGCTGGTCTTAGGATGTAACACACCATCATCATACATTTAAAATTGAGGCATGTAAAGCAGCGAAGAGGAGGACCCACCACTGTTTGCATTAACAGTTTTCAGGGACTCAGGCAGTGCTGAATAGAACAACACTTAGGTGCCTGTATCCACTTACATGCCTAATAGATGAAGTAGACTCTGGCTCTTGCTTTACAGCTTCTCTACCTCTTGTGAGTAAGCAAGAGCCATGCCCCTACCATGCTTCATCTCCCTGCATTATTTTTCCTTCCTCTTGCCTCAGAGGTAGCATCATGTCTGCTCTGATATCAGTGATCCCCTTACTTTCCTTGTAGTCTGTGAAGCAGAGATAAGTGATCCCCTTACTTTCCTTGTAGTCTGTGAAGCAGAGATAACTGATAGAGAAAAGTAATAGGATGGTTTGGACTGGATGGCTGCACACTGCATTAGTACCAAGTGCTTGTCTGTTTGTCTTTGCATCAGGTGCTGCCTATACTTGCCTAGAAGCAGCAACGGGAAGGGCCTTGCTACGACAGCACATGGATAACACTGGAGAAGATCACCCATTAAACAAGCTTAGAGTGAAGATTGAACCAGGTGTGTGACAGCACTGGGTCTTCCAGTACCTTGACAGCACTGGAGAGGGTGGACATATGGGTGCTGTACTCATGGCTAGTATGTTTAACCCAGATAATAGCTTGGAATCCAATTTTGTCTCAATAGTAATGGTTGAGAACATAGTACATGAGTATGTGTTGGGACTATATTGCTGCCCTGTGAATTGGGTACTGTGTGGGGCTATTGTGCATCAGTATTTTCTAGTCCTCTTGCTGTTGTTTAGCCCAGGGATGCTCCACCCCCAGTTCAGGGAACAAGATCTGAACCGTGGAGCCATGTCATCCCTCTCACTTGGCTTCCCAAGGGTTCATAAATTGTCAGTGGGTGAGCAGTGACAGTGTTAATTCCTGCTCCATGCTGCCAAATTTCCAGACCCATAAGGACCCTGGCAGGCTGGATAGCATGGTGGCATGTGGTAGACTGGGGGAGAGCCTGATTGGTAGAGGGACATGGGGCCAACACCATGAGGGATCCAGCCTATAGACTGGCCCCACAGCCCTCATCTAGGTCAGATGGCTGAAAGGTTGAGCATCACTGGTTTAGCATGAAAGCCCTAATTAGCGATAATAGTATTTATAGAGAGCTACAGGTGGCATCAAACACTCAGTATCTTTGCCAGCAATTTCAGAGGAACAGGCTGGGCATCGAAGGGTCAGCATTTCAAGTCAGGCAGTTAAATGCAGGTCTGGAGGGCTTTAAAAGTGAGCAGTAATGTTTGGGCGCTGGCACTGCCCTTAGAGATGCCTGAATTTTTGGAGGCATGCGAGCAGAAACCCTCTCTCCAAATGCCCACCTCTGTGTATTTGACTTTGTTAGAATGAAGCCTTCTGTAGCCACGAGGACCTTTGTGCTAACTGCCTTGCGGCTGCCAAGTGCTTCATCACGGGCAGCTGCCGACTGTGTCATTAGCAAGCTGAGCTTTAATAACTCCAAGATCAATATTTCATGCACCTGCAAAAGAGCATGCCAGCTTTCACAAAGCAATGAAGTGTCTGCAGGGTCTGAGGTTAGGAAGCTTTGCCATCTTGGAGCTCCAAGTAAAGCAGCAGCGCTTCTTAATGTTTGGAACCAAGATGCCTTTTGTATTTCACTCTGATCATGTGGGTTTAATCTCCTTCTGATTTCTGCTTCCTGTTCTCTTCCCCATGCCCCCTCCATGTTTTTTTAATATAACTATGAGATGCTAAGCCTTATTGTGCACCATGTCAGAGTTCAGTCAGGTTGTACCTCCCGAACAAAGAAATCAGATCTCATAGTTTCATAGATGTTAGGGTCAGAAGGGGCCTATTAGATCATCGTGTCTGACTTCTGCAGATTGTAGTTGGATGAAAGACAGTGAATGAGCAGGGGGAAAACCACAGTTCACAGCACTGTCTATATGTCTTCATGTGTCTAACAAAATGATCAGGATTGGAAATAGGGTAGATCAGAATGGTCATTGACCACTGCTGCCTGCTCCTCACTTCTGGCTTTTGGTGTCAAAGGCTGGAAGTCACAAAGCAGCTGGGGTCATCAGTTCTTTTGAGCAGTGCTCTGTGTGTTAAAGCTTGCACCTCTGTTGTGTTCTTGAATGCCAGGCGTCGACCCTGATGACACCTACAATGAAACCCCCTATGAGAAGGGATACTGTTTCGTGTCCTACCTGGCGCACCTCGTGGGAGATCAGAGCAAATTCGATACCTTCTTGCAGGTACCACATGCTGGCTGAGTTCCTGTCAGTGGCAGCGCTGCGCAGGCTTGTAGAGCGCCTGGGAGCAGGCCAGCACACTTCCAACATGCTGTTAGCAAGGTTCCCTCTATTGTTGCTGGTGCATGGTGGACAGCATCACAGGCTCTTGGTACTTACAAAGTCTAGAAATGGCACTACACTCCCCCAGACAAAACCTGTTCCTTCTGCCTTGGAGAAGGACCCTCCTCTTACATGGGGATCCCCAAATAGATCATAATTCCTGGCAGTGGACCGCTATTAACATTCAGGTTACTCCAGCACTCCAAGCAAGCTGGGGGTGACATCTCAATGAGTTGTGCAAGCCATGTTTGAAAAAAGCTACAGTGTGAAGTTGCAGGTGCGCAGAGCTAATAGGAGGTGGATCCCGTGGCTAGGAGTGTTCCAGCATTGGTGCGCCATCCCTCTGGGCACACTCTGTATGTGGTGTTGCCCGTGAGCTTCAGCTGGCTGGCTCTGAACATCCAGTGAACACAGGGCCAGGTCAGCAGGCAATGGGGAATTACTGCTAAAGGCACCAGGGCCCAGGCTGTGTGAGTTTGCTTTTCTGCCAAGCATCCTCACAACTTACAGACTGCCTTACGGTCCAGGCTTACAGGTTAGTGATTAAGGTGAGGGGAACTTGTTATTATAATCTTAACTTGGGTCTGGGAGCAGGGGATGAGTCTGCTAGGATTCCAGCTCTGACAGTGACTGCTGTAGGACACATGGCAAGGCCTTTTGGGCTGATTTATTTGTGTCTGTGGAAGTGGGAGAAGAGCCTAGCCCCACCTGGGGATGTAGTGCCCAGGTAGCTAATGCCTGTGCAATGCTCAAGCATTGGTCATGAGGATATAGAGCCAAGGGAAAGATTTTGGAGGCAGAATGGGGTACAGGCAGGAGCCAGTGGCAAAGCATAAAGGGCCAAGGGTAGAGAAGAGCCTGCATATGAAGAAACAGAAGAAGGAGAAACCAAAGATGCTGGTTATCAAGCAGGCTATATTGCACTGGTCTAGGCGCAGCTCCCTGGCAGAGAACTGTGGGGGTGGACATGACAGCTGACTAGGCCACACTGAGCCTCATATGGGTGCTGCTGCCTGCCCTGGGTCCTCTTGCAGGGCCCCTGGAGCCAAAGAAGCTGCAGAGCACACGCACTGCCTGCAGTGGTTGAACACCCTTATCCCCAGCCAAGTGCCGTGCAGTCACAGCTGCCAGCACATGGGGTGGGGGGTGGGGGAAATACCGGGTTTCCAAGCCAACCAGTTGCAGCAGGATGGGAAGCTGCTGGTGATCTTCACACCTTCCAACCCCACTGCTCCCACCTTGGGTCCAGGGCAAAGACTCCCCTTTCTGAGCATGCCCTGAAGCCCCAACCAAAAGCCGTGCAGTGCAAGCAGAGAGGAGCTGGAACTGACCACGCGCTGGGAACAGGGGGACACAGGCTTGGAGGTAAATCCTTGAGTCCCGTGGGCCAAGCCAGCCCTGTGCGTGTGAGTCTGCATGCAGTGTCGCTCTGACCACTCTTCCCCACAGGCCTACGTGAACCAGTTCAAGTTTCAGAGCATCATGGCTGATGATGCCCTAAACTTCTTCCTGGAGTACTTCCCAGACCTGAAGAAGAAAGGCGTGGACTCCATCCCAGGTCAGCACTGCCACCCCAGGCTGCAGGGCAGGGAGGGGCATCCTGGTTCATTGAGTTTGCTGATGGGCTCTGTCAAGTCTCGTGTCTCCTGCCCTGTGCAGGGGGGCACTTTTTGCTCCTAGTGCTTCTGGACAGGCAGACAGCAGCAAACCTCAGAATAGGGCTCACTTGCCGCAGCTTGTTCAGCTCTGCCCTGCTCCAGGGCTTGGCCTGGCCCAACCGGCACAGCAGCACTGGCTGAGCTGGCTGCCTCCTTCTCCCGGGATCGTTTTTATATAAAATAGTACATTCCTGGGCTCCAGATTACAAAGAAACCTTGGGACTGGGCACGGAGTGTCACTGAGGTGGAGCTGTCTGCCTGCTTTAGCAGAAGACCAAGTCCTGGGGGGGCAACAGACGTGCCACAAATTATGCCCTGTGCCCTCCCCGAGTACCAGTCTGATCTCCTTCCTTTGCTCCCTGCCCTGCCCTGCTGCTCTGCTTTCTGCTTCCTACCTTATTTTCCCTGGGTGGCCTGTGCCTTCCCTGATCTGCTGTGTACCACACACAGAGGCTATCCATGCTGCTTGTGGCACCTGTGCTGCAGGTTGGCCACCCCTTACTTACACATGTAGCCCTGAGAGGTCCTTGTCCCATTTGACTGCGACTGACTGAGCTTGACCGACTAAGCTTGGCTCCTAGGCATGTCTTCCTTTCCTCATCATTGATGACATCAAGTTCCTACTATTGGCCTGTTGGGCTGCCTGGTGCACACTAACTATTTGCTCTTGCGTCCAGTGCTGCTTGTTTACCTGCTGCCTCTTAGGCTTCCTCCACAGGTGGCTCAGCCCAGACTCAATCTGCACAGTTCCTCTTTCCTGAGTAGCTCTGGGGCAATTAAGGTGAGCAGCACCCAAGCTCTTAGCTGCCTGGTGCTCCATAGCGTGTGCAGAGCCCACCAAAGTCATCAGGGATGCATGTGCCTGAAGCCAGCATCCGGCTTGTGGGGTCTTTTGTTATGGGGAGGGGGTAGGGAGCTGAGCATGTTGGGCTCCATCGAAGCGTTGTTTGTAAGCTCAACACTGAGCCATCGTCGCCATGTGGCAAAATTGCACAGCCTTGTTGGTGCCAACCTATGGAGCAGACTTGTGCTCTAGGGCCAGAGCTTGGAATTAGATCTCTTGATTGCTGGTTCCTGCTGGCTTTGCTGCTCGGTGGTCCCTCAGGGTGCTGATGGAGGGCTGAGTCCTGCTCTGTTGGACTGGGTTGTTTATTCTGGAAGCTGGCATCCAGTCTGGAGTCCAAAACCTGACCCTGCTGTTTCTCTCCTTCCCTGCACAGGCTTTGAGTTTGATCGTTGGCTGAACACCCCCGGCTGGCCCCCACACCTTCCTGACCTCTCACCCGGAGATGTGCTGATGAAGCCAGCAGAGGACCTGGCAGAACTGTGGGCAGCCAGCAGTTTGGACATGGAGGCAGTTAAGGCTGTGGACATCTCTGCCTGGAAGACATATCAGCTGGTGCACTTCCTGGATAAAGTCTTGCAGAAATCGCCTTTGCCGGATGGTAAGACCATGTGACCTCTGAGCAGGGCATGTGTCAGGTCCAGCCAGGGGAAGTTGGGTGGAGGAAGGCAGGGACCTCAGTCCTCTGGTCTTATATTAAGCCCACTTGTTCTATGTACTAGCCCCAGCTGGATGCTTACCAGTGTTTCCCAGGCTAGCCATGGAGGTGGGATGTGTGCTCAGCACTGTGCTTCTGGTCTCCTTCTGCAGCAAGGATACATGAGGGGAGGGCGTGTGCTGCTGCAGTTCGGCTGATCTGTGCCACAGTGGAAATCTAGTGGCTGGTCTTTGCTTTTGGGAGGCCTCTGTCTGTACAGTAACCAAGTGGGGTGGGCTAAGGCCTCACTTCCTGGCCAGGATCCCTGAACACAAGTCTGCATGGGATGCTGTACCTGCCAGCACCACCCTTTCCTCACCACTGCCTGTAGGCCCCTTCCCATGATGTGAATGGGGAATGCCAGGTGTTGCCCAATTCTTCAACCCTGCTGATCTCAGCCCTGCATCGTGCATACATAGATGCCCTTTGGCTTGCCCTGTAGTAGCATTGTGCAGTTGACATGCTGCAGGTACCCCAATTGGCAGGGGGGTGAAATCACATGAAACCCCAAAATGCAACATAGAGCCCAAATCATTGTTGAAATCACATGACTCCCCAAAATGCAACATAGAGCCCAAATCATTGCTCAGAGCCCTGTTCAGGCTGCGGAACAGCCTCTGTGCCCCGTAACTCAGTTTTGCTCATCATTTAACTGAAGGTTTCTTGCCAGACTTGGACCATGACAGTCTGCCCTTTCAGGGTAGAGTCACTACAGCCTGCAGAATGTGTGTTGCTTTGGCACAGAGGGATTGTACTGGAACCACTGGCTGCCAGGAGCTGGAGAATGACCATTGCTGCTTTTTTGTCTCTGATCAGAGTCCTGGGCTGTTAATGGCAAAGAGTATGGAGGAAATGCTTCTTCTGTGTGTGTTGGGGCTGTGCTATATTAAATTGCCACCCAAAGCAAAGGGAGGGTGCACAGAATTGGGCTGTGTTGCCATAGCTTTGCTGAATATGTCTTGCACCCAAGCCACGTCAGGGCTTATGTGACAACTAGCAGTGCTTCCAGCTTGTTCTGGCTGCCACGTCCCCATGGCACCCCTGGGGACTTGGGCCCTTAGGTCCCATGCACCTGAGCTCTGCAGCACTGACGAACAACTCCTTCCCCAGGGAACGTGGACCAGCTGAGCGAGAAGTACCCAAAGATCTCCCAGGCGCAGAATGCTGAGCTGCGCCTCCGCTGGTGCCAGATCGTCCTCAAGAACAACCATGAGGCCGAGTATGGAAAAGTCAAGGACTTTCTGCACAGCCAGGTTTGTGATGCCATGTGGCTCACTCCATGGGACCAGGAGGCTCTGGTGAGGGGTGCAGCAGGTGGTGACAGCAGAACACTGCCCTTCGCCTGGGCTTGGCTGCCTGTGCCTTATGTTAGGCAGACACCAAAGTACTTCACTCAATCCAGTCCTGCCTGGGGGATGGAAAACGCTTAAAGTTTAAAGCAGGCACTGAAACATCCTGTTGAGTTAAGGCCAGAAAAGGAAACCGGTTGTGTGAGGGCCAGAGTAGCTGGCAGTTCAGCTGTGCAGTGTGGACGAGACCAGGGGGCAGCTGGAATCCAGCGCTGCACTTCCTCGCTCTGACCCTCCTGTGCAGCAGGGTGTTTGAACAATAATCCCCATGAGCAAGGGCTTCCACGGCCATGTGTGCTGTGCCCCCAAGTGCTGCCTGCTCCCCATTCCTCCAGGCCTGCACCACAGCTCTCATGATCAGGCTTAGCCAAGGGGCTCTGCCCCCATGTAGACGCTGTTCGTTCCTCTGCTCTCCCCGGCTGGCTGTTAGCGCTATCACCAGCTGTTGAGCTGGAAAAGTTGACTCAACTCGAGTGTGCATATGCACACATGCATGCACACACGCTCAGCCCGTGTAGCTAGTGTTGGTCATGTGTAGCCTGCATGGCCAAGGCCCAGCCCCAGGGATTTCAGTCAGAAGTGGGGCTAGTGGGAGGAGCTGGGGGTATGTTAAAGCACAGGAGATGGGGAACTGTTCTGGGGAGCGACTGCTCCTCTAAGGGTGTACCAGCACCCTGGGGGCTCTGCAGCAGAGTGGACTGGACTTTATTTGCCATTTGTGCCTTGCAGGGGAAGCAGAAGTACACCCTCCCCCTCTACCGGTCCATGTGGAGCGGCTCCGAGTCGGCCCGGGTGCTGGCCATGGAGACCTTCTCAGCCACGGCTCCGCAGCTTCATGTGAATGTCCAGAACTACATCAAGAAGATCCTGGGCCTGGAGCCTGCTGGCAGCTAGGGGCTCACTTCTGAGGGGCCTGGGCAGCGAGGCCTGTGGTCTCTGCATTGGCTCCGCTCCATTCACACTGAGGGTCCAGAGCCGCTGTGTTGCGAAGCCTGTTCCACAGCTGGTGCTGATTCTGCGGCTTGATGCGCAATCTTGGCTTATTAAATACTTTGTAATTTGAATCTGTCCTCTTTCTCCTTCAGGTCTCCGGGGACTCCATCTTCATGTGAAAAATAAACCCTGAATGCTCAGACTTCAGCCTGGGCTGGCTGGGCACCGGATCCCAGCCCACGCAGTCTGCAATGATCTGGCATTGAGGGGCTTGTATAAGATGCCGGCAGTTCTTTTCCAGCCTGTGACCAAGTCTTGGTGGGCGTGCTCACTATTTGGAGCATAAGGCTGTGACCTGGAAGGGCCTTGTTGGTCTTGGCTGTGCAGTCACAGCCGTGGCTGCTGCCGGGCATTGATGTTGTTGATGGGCCCCATGCATGCCTGAACCTTGCTCAGGGTGTGCAAGTCTGTCACATCTGAGCAGAGCTTGGGCTGTGGGAGAAAGAGCTATAGCACAGGCCGTGTGCACCTTTGCCAGCCCGGAGCCCCAGTGCTGTCTGAGCAGCTGCTGCACTGGGGAGGGAAGGAGGGTTTCTCTCTTCTACTGGAGGAGAGGGGAGGTGTAAATACAGTGCCTCCTCAGGCAGGGTCCTTTTGCCTCTTCACCAGCTGGGCTGGGCCCCAGCTTATGCAACCCCTGCCCTGCTGCTCTGGCCTGGCATCTTGTATCTGCTGATGAGGCTGAGGCACTTGCCTTCCTGTGGCACAGTGTGTGACCTGTGCCCCAAAGCCAGGCCATTGGACTCCCTTGCCTGTGTGGTGAAGACAGTGCCAAGCTTTGAGCCTCTGAAAGCTGGCTGGAGCTCTGGGCAGCAGCAGGGGGTCTTACTGCCTTTCTGCAGGGAGAGCGGGGGAGCAGAATTGTTTCTCAGGGTGGGTTTATCGCTCCTGTCTGGGCATTGGCTCTTGGCCAGGGCTGCTTCTTTGTGCTGGAGGTGCCTACCCAGCGTTTTGCTTTCCTTTGGCCGTGCCCTGTGGGGGCATGGCCAAAGTTGTCAGAGAGGAGCAAGGCCTGTGCCAGGGCTGTCTGGTTTGGAGACGTGTACTGGTTTGCAGGGGAAGATGGGTGTGTGCAGGGTGGAGTGATCTGCAGGGGGAAGGAGTGGCGGTGGGCTGAACTTCCTGCCAGGGCTGAGTCATCGGCTCTGTCCATGCACCACTGACAAAGCCAGGAGGAGTCTATCGCTGCAGCGATGCAGATCATTTAGTGACACAAGCCCCAGTCCTCTCCTGCCTGCTCCCCTCACCCAGAAGCAAGCGGCTTGGATACAGTTTCTGTGCTGGTCCAGATCGGTATGGTCCTCTCTTGTCCTGCTTGGTGGATTTACAGCTGGTTCTCTGGCTGAGCACCAAACACTCCTTGTGCTCTGGGCAGAGATGCCCCAGCTCTCAGTGAAGCAAAATGGAGCGTGTGGCTACATCCAGATGAGCAGGGGCGTGTGGTTTATGGTGCCACGAACTTTTTTTGTGGCACCACAAACTGTACACAGTGGACATTAAAACATGCATGTGGTGGCAAAATTTGCTACTGAGGTTTTCCAGTAGCAAAAAAAAAGTTCCAGGAAAAAAAAGAGGCACGACGCACACAAAACAAGCCTGCACCAGCAAAATTGGAGGCTCGGCCATCCAGAGCATTGCTCTGGCTTTCCGCCAGGCCTCTGTGCTGCCCCTGCTGCTCCAGCATGCCACCAGCCCACCTGGTAAGACTGCCAGCTCTCCCTGGCTGAAGATCTGGGAGGGGCTGGGCAAAGGCAGTTTGCCAGTTGTGGGATATCTTGTCCTGCAACAAGCTGCATGTGCAGTGGCATGAACTGACGTAATTTGTGCTGCTGCAAGGACACACCCCTGCTCCTCTGGACGTGGCCTGTGTGTGCTCACCGCTTGCATTGGGCTGATTTTAGCACAACCCTGGGGCCACTCAGCTCAGTGAGTCTCCTGGGTTGCTGCAAATGCCCCTGCCACCCTGTGGCTCTGGTCCCATCAGGCCGTGGGCTGATGGAGCTGAGGGCAGTGGGCTGGGGCTGGCTGGGAGTGACCACGGCCTACAGCACTTGCCTGTCTAGTTGGGATGTTGTCTGCAGCCGCTGGTGTCAGCGCTGCTAGAAAGGATGTAGGATTCATGGGTTCTTCTGGGCTCTGCGATGGCCTCTCTGGGTGGGTCACTTCTCTATACCCCTGCTTTAGTTTCCCTGCCTGCAACAGGATTTTGATAATACTGACCTGCTCTACCAGGTGCTGAAATCCAGGAGAGGTCCCTGCATTCAGGGTATTACTATGAATATATCTTTAATATCCCTGCCATACCCACCCCTAGCCCTGCATTAACATAGCTGCCCTACCTGTGCTAGGGCTTCTGGTTGAGCCATGCCTCCAGCAGGTCTAATTTTGACCTAGTTGAGGCCCTGGGGCCGCCCTGGTATGCTGGTACCATAGGGGTCTGTGCATTCAGGCCAGCACCCTCCCTCAAGCTTTGCTGCTGGGCCTGGGGGTGCCAGTTCCCTCCACACACAGCCCTGGGCTCCCTTACTGCAGACAGCTGAGGGGTTTGGGTGCCTGAATTGCTCTGTGCATCTTAGCAGCAATTTGTTCTGGTAAAACCAACACTCGCTGTACATGCAGACAAGAAGATGTAGATGTAGAGCACCCCATAGCGACCACATCCCCCCACCCCTTACTGGGAGACGACCACCCTGCTGGTCAAGCAGCTGGGTTCACCCAGATCCCCTGCATGGATTTCAGTGCCAGGGCCTGGGTGTTGCCCAGGGGTGCTGAGGGTGACCTGAGCCTCAATGTGGGCTCCCACCCGCCCTGCTAGGTTGTGCCCAGCTGGCCCTGCTCCTCTCAGCTGTGCACACAGGGGCAGGGCTGGTTTCCCTGACAGCCTTGCTCTGCTTTCTGTTCTCGCTCTGATCTGGTGTAGGGACGAGTTGGACAGGTCCGGGCACCTGAGCACTGGGAAATTCCAGGAGCTTGTCTCTGTTGATGCAGCCTGTTTCCTCTCCTCGGGTCTCACAATTCAAACACGAGGCAGGGCCGTGGCTGCTTGCCCTTGGCGCTGGCTCTGGGGCAGGAGGGCGTGTAGCCGATACTGTCTCAACCCTAGCAGCCCCCAAACTGGTAGTGGTAGTAGGCTGTTACCCTGGATGTGAGGCAGATGCTGAAGGGGACGTTGCAAGCACTATACCAATGTGTCGCTCCGAACACCTCGAGTTGCCAGGCCGCCCCTACCATGAAGGGGGTTGTCACTGCTGCCCTCTGGCAGATCTCTTCAACCTATCCTGTCCCACTGCTTGGCCTGTCTCCAGGTTTTCATCATCCTGGAGCCCCAGTGTCTGTGGCAAACAGCAGAGCCAAGCCCTCCTCCTAGCTCAGCCCCCTGGGAAAGCCCTGAGTGCCCAGCCCAGCCCAGGGTTAGTCTGTGGAGCGGTGGTGGTCATGGCACTAGGGGGATGTGGACTCTTTGCTGGCCTGTGTCTCCACCGCTGCCTTCTGGGTCACATCAGGAGTGCAGGGGAGAGTGCCGGTGGCATGGGTCACTGCGCTCTGCTTGGAGCTGGAAATTCCCATGTCTTCTGGCAGTTGCAGCAGAGACCAGGCCCCTAAGCACCTTGCTTCAGGCTGGGGACCTTCTCATTCACCGGCCAAGTTAGTCTCCAGTGAGCTCCAGAGCTATCATGTGAGGTCACAATCATGGAAAGCGGGCCCTGCACCCTCCTGCCCTTCGGTGAAGGAGAAGTGCTGTGCTAAGAGGCTCTCTGCATGCTGGAGGGGACAGTAACACCTCCGCGTGTTGCAGAAAGAGCCACTTGCTGCAAGCAGCCAGGCTGCCAAGCCAGGCAAGGGATGCCGCCATGTAGAAAGAGCCGGGCATCTCAGAGCAGTGAAGCATCAGCCATAGATAGGCAGGGGCTGTGGGGCAAGCCTGGCCCTGTTTGCAGTACATTCAGGAGACTGGGTGGTACTGCAGGCTGGTTCCCACTGGCCCAGGCTGCCCACTTCGAGATAAGCTCCTGGCTGGCAGCAAGGCAGAGAGCCTGGTGAACCCAGGTGTTATTACAAGCTGGAAAGATGGGGAAACTGGGCATCTCAAGGGCTGTAGGTTTGGCATTGCAGCCAGAGCCCATTGGAGAAAGGAAAGACACAGCCAGGGCCAGAGGTGGGACCAGGAGCTTGAAGTAGAGTTGGAAAGCGGAGGAAACCAGGAGGGGCCTCAAAGATGATGGCAGAGCCCGGCTGGGCCAAGCCATTTCCTGGGCAGTCCCTTGGAGTGCCCTCTGTGGGGCCATCACCATCTGGGCTGTGTGCACAGACAGCTGATGGATCTGTGCTGAGACGAGGAACCTGCAGCACCACTGGTCACCTCAGGGCATGGAGTTGGCCCTCTGCGCACAGGGCCCAGCACTTCTGTGCAGGGGCAGCTGAGGCATTCACGCAAGAGGTTCCCAGTGTGATGGCAGCACCTGGCACGCTGAGATGGTTGTGTCCTTGGGAAACCAGTTCCTTCCAATGTCCCTGCAGTGAACTGGGCTTGAAGAATTGGAATTCACCCCAAAGGGGAAACAACACAGCTGGAGTTAGTGGTGGCCTGTAAAACTACAGCCCCCAAGAGATGAAAAAAGCAGTGTCCTTCCCTAGCAGAGCACTCCCCTGTGCCCAGCTGGAGGAGGAGGGAGGCAGATGCAGGGGAGCCCTGCCACAGCTAGCAGAAGCAGCCACATGCTGGAGGAGACCCATGGACTCCTCTGAGGACTCGGACCTATGCCCAGGTGATGGAAAAAGAGGCAGGCAAGCAGATGTAGCTCCTGGTGCTGTCTGAAGGAAAGAGCAATTGGCTTGGGGAGCTCTGGGAATGGGCGTGTTTCCATTGCTGGAGGCTCTGGGGAGTCAGGGCTGGTCTAAAAGGTGTGGAGCAGCTGGGCTGTGCAGTCCCTTTCCTATGGAGCATTCACAGAGAGAGCCTGGGCCCCAGCAGTGTGGCAAGGGCAAGGGCAGAGGTAGTGCTGCAGCCCACCCAGACCAAGAAAAGCCTTACGGCACGTGGGCCTGGCATGCTAGGACCTGAACACGTGTGTATGTGCATGTGTGTGTACGTGCACCGGCCTGTGACACGCATTCCAGGCAGCCAGGAGGCCATGGCGAGGGGCGTGCCCAGCAGCGTGGTGCAGATGTGCCCACCTGATGCAGTGACTTCCAGTGCGCACAGGCCTGGCTCTCCCCTTTCCTCCCCTCCCACATGACAGCCCACTCGGTTCCATGCTCCTGGGCCTCCCTGCTCCCAGCTGTTCCTGGAGAGAAGAGCACGCAGGAGTAGGCAAGGTCTCAAACACTCACAGAGGCGCTGAGCCAGCCTTGGTCCTGATAGCACAGAGGGATGTGGGTGAGCCGCACAGGTGGCCAGAGAGTGGGAGCCAGCAGCTGCCTGGTACACGAGTGGGGAGTGTTCCCATGAACACTGCTCATGCTGAGTGGCAGGCAGGAAACCCCCCCAGTCCAATCTGGAGCAGTGGCTCAGCCCATCAACCTCCCCTCTGTCAGGGACACTGTGTCCCAGCCCCAGGTTTCCACCCTCTCTGGGCCTTGCCCCATGCCTCTGGGTATAGCAAACACCTCCCCGCCCCGGTCACCGGAAGGATGTTCTTGAGGTCAAAGTGCTGGAAGGCCTCAACATTGCCCAACCTGCAGCCCTGCCCTGCTGGGTCATGCACATACGGTGCTGCTGGTGATGCGGCACGCAGCACCAAACAGCCTGTGCAAACACAGTGGTTCCAGGTCAGGATGCCAGGCCAGGGTCCCAGGACCCACTCCCCTACTCGTGAAGCCCGGCTCTGCCAAAAAGCCTGAGCCAGCAAGTGTTTTGCACTGCACCTTAGTCATGGTAAGCTCGTCCTTGACAGACTGAGGGTCTGCAAGGGAAAGGCCAGTCCTAGAGGCAGTGAGCTCCAGGCTGGCTGGGCTGAGGGTGGTAATCCAGGCTGAGCATCTCCAGGTTTGACACCTCTTGTGATTGTAGCCCAAAGCTCCTCATGTCTGGGGGTTCCCCCAACACTGCTTCTGGACCTGGCTTTGGAGTATCTGTGCATTTCTAGCTCTTGTAGTTACAGATAAAAGCTAGAAAACCTGACTCCACTGTGGCCAGAACATGTGCAGCACCCAGGAGCCAAAAGCAGGGAAGGTGCATGAATTGAGGCTCTGCCTTGGTGGTGCTCAGTAGAGTTAATAGAGCAGACCTGGGGGGTGGGCTCTGGGAAGGGAAGTGCACCTGGATGCTAGTGCCTGGTGGAGGGTGCGTGCGGATGACCTGTCCTCCGAACACGTGGCAGCTGGGCTGGGCCCTGGCACTGATCTGTGCTTATAGATAGGGGATGGGGCTGTTAAATCATCCACTATCCGCTGCCCTTCTACTCCAGGAGCCAAAGTCTCTCCAAGGGATCTTCCCATCAGTGCTGGCTTGCTGCTCCACCCAGCCAAGAGCTATGCTGTTCATATACCCAAGCCTGATGGAGTACACTGGGCTCAGACCAGAAGCCAGTGGAGTTTAGCTCTGGGGGCACTGTCCAGGGTCTGCCTGTCTCCCAGCTGGCCACACACTTGGCACTGTGGCAGGGCTGCCAGGGCCAGGCACACCGTGCATTTCAGAGCCAGTTGAACCTGTCTCCGCTACCCTCTGCCCAGAGCTCCTAGTTCTGAGCGTGCTCCCTGGTTCCTTGCAGTCGTGTTGCTTCCCAGCCTCCCACCTCTTCACCCCTGTCCACAGGTTGGCTCAGCAGCAGCAGTGCCACATCAGGAAGGCACTGAGCCATGGTGGGCAGAAGCCCAGCAAGCTCAGGGACCAGGGAGCTCATTTGAGATCTCTGCCCACTCACTCCCAGGTCCTCTGGTAGAGTGCCCTGCAGCCAGCATGGAGCCTCAAAGCCTGTGCCCTTAGGTTCAGTGAGCTACAGGCCATGCAGGGAGGCGTCTAGCTGGCACAGGGGCTGTCCGCTAGCTCCTCAGCTGTTGGCTCCTATAGCCCACCCTTGCTCTATTTCCAATGTGCAAGATTTGTAAAAGAGGGCGAGGGGAATGTACTGCAGTGAGCTGGTAGTGTGACCAGCTGGGGAGACAGGCATGCAGGTGGCATGTCATCTTGACACCCTGCCTGCACGATCCCCGTGTGCAGGCGTGACTGCTGCTTCACACTGGGCCCATGCAGACAAGCCTTAGCTGCCAAATCAAATCTGACCAGGCTGCTGGCTCGCTGAGTTGGAGTGGGGCGCCAGAGGGCGCTCAGAGCCTGCTTTGGCCAGTGGCACCTGTTCTGGTGCAGATGTGAATGGGTGAGACTGTGCTGCGTGGGCAGCCTCCTCTTGGCCGGCTGCTGCTCCTGCTCCCTGGTTCCCACCTGGCAGAGCCACGTTTTGATTAGACTGCTGGTCCCTGATCACCCTGGGACACAGAGGACTTCTTCCCCACCCTCTCTGGTGTGTAGGCAAGCTACTCCCAGGCTCCCTCCCCGAGCCTGGACTTGCTCAGCATGCAGGCTGCAGTGCCCTGTTGTGTCTGTCGCCCACTGGCCTAAAGGGAGACCTGTGGGCCCTGAGCTGCATCAGCAGGAGACCCAAACTCAGGGTGCTTGGCCTGGCCCAGAAGAGTTCCCCCCAATACACAGCAAAACTGCCTGGTTCTGCCCCGTCTGGGGCCACCCCTGCTCAGGGGTGAGGGTGAGCATCTTTGGAGGCTTCAACTCCATGCTGCCTCCCTTTGGCATCCTGATATTTGGACTGAACAGACTTCCTGCCTTCCCCAGTGTGTGGTGTAGGGCTGTTTGCCATCATTAAGTAGCTGCTATCTTCCATTCCAGAGAAGGCTGCATTTTAATGGTGGACAAAAACCAGGGGACAAGTTCACAATTTACTTTCACACTGCAGGCTGGAAGGGCAAAAGGGCCTTCAACAGCTGGGGCCCCACCATGGGCTGAAAAGGCTGGGAGTCAAGGCCCAGCTAAGCTGCAGATTCAGGCAAGTGACTAGGAAGCTTGTTGCATCCCCCAGAGCTGAGAAGGTACCCGGGGCACACACAACAAGACAGCAATCAAGTTTCCCAGGGTTCACGGCACCTCAGAGGAGATAATACTGCTGGTGCCAGGGTATGGAGATGGCTCCATGCACCCAAAGGCCCAGTGCCCAGAAAGAAAAAAGCACAGCATCCTCCCATACCATATCCCATCCTCCATACCACAGACTATTGTTGAGGAATGAAGTCAGGCTGGGTAATTAGTCTGCTTGACCTGCTGCTTCTTGGATGGCATGATGGCCCCAGCTTGCCTCAAGGCAGTGGCTGTAGCCCCAGCCAGGGTGACTTCCCTAGGGTGAATGGTGAGTGACCTGGGACCCAGCCACCCAGGGTCACGGGCTGCACCGGGGTCCCAGAACAGCAGTGGACTCTCTCAGGCTGCAAAACCCTGTATGCACATGCCTGCATGTGTGTGCCTGTGGGGGTGTGAGGATGGCAGCATAGGCAGCAATCCATGCCAGGCCAGGGTTCAGAGGCTGGGTGAAGACAGGAGGCATCTCAGGCTGTTAGTCTGGGAGCCAGGGAGAAACACAGCTGACACAACCACACACACATTGCTACACATGCACATACACAGGGAGCTTTGAAGACCACCAGCCTCAGCAAAGAACCCCCTGTATAACCATTCCTGCGCAGCCCCGTGCGTGTGTGCATGTGCATGTGGTCACATCCAGACAGCCTCTGCAGTGCTTGTGAAATGGAGGGGAAAGAACTGGCACGAGGGAATCTGCCCCGGCCAGATCCGGAAAAAAACACACACACGCGTACCAACAGCAGCAGCAAAACCATCTTGTCTCATTGCCAGACAACCCTGGCTGGCCCCACGCTGCAGGCTTATCCATACTGCTCACACTCCACTCCCGCCCTTGGGACCCAGCAAAACTCTAGGCCCAGGAGAAGCTAACTTTGGACCCATCTCCTAGCCCCTTTGTACCAGCTCCTTGCCAGTGGGGCTCACCCGACTGGAAGAGACGGGCTGGTGTGAGACAGGAGATGCAGGACCCTGGTTGATGGTCTAGTGGGGTCACACCTGCCCTGTGACTGAGGACTATTTTTATGTGGTCCCTTAAAACAAGGGCTGGAGTGCTCCTAAACCCTGGATCCAAAATGTCCTGGGGATCTGAGGCTCTCAGCTTTGGGGGTGGGGGCTGGAGCTCCCCTTTTCAGAGGGGTTTGTGCAGGTCAGTCTGCATGTAGGTGGCACACTTTCCCCTGCTGGATAATGAGAGGGCTGGTGAGCAGGCAGGTAGCCATTGGCACAGCCCATGCAGGAGGAGGCTGGTCCCCTGCTCTTGTGAGCAAACACGCTTGACATTCGAAGACAGAAAAACACTGTGGGTGAAACTGGGGCCAGGCTGGGCAGCAGCTCTGACAATCATTAAACTGGCCAGCCCAGATTTCCCGGCAAGGCGGCCGTAGTCTGGGGCCAAGTGGTGCATACTATGCAAATCACCTGGAGCTGGGAGCATGAATGCTCCAGCTAGGAATTCCCCTAGAGCTGGGCGGATCATGTTACTGCCACCCAGGCTATAAAAGGTGGAGCCGTGGGGAGTGGCCACCTTCAGAGCTGGGCTCTGCACTCACGGATGAGGAGTGGGTAGGAAGCAGAGGTGTGCTGGCAGCTCCCCGTGCTGCTCTGTGGATTAGCTGCTGTTGCTGGGATCCTCATCGCAGAAGGTACCAAAGCAACTCTGGGCTCAGCAGGGCCTTCCCCTGTGTGCTGTGCTGGACTAGGCTGCGCCTGCCCTCCTGCCTCCACCTTATTGGGGCATCTCCCTGGGCACCTGCTGTGGGCCTTGGGAGTGGAAGCATCTGTACAAAGTCCCTTCCTTGGAGCTACCGTGGGGCTGGCAGGTGAATACCAGCCTCCTCTTTCTTGCCAGCATGCACGCAGGCAGTGGACAGATCCTAGTGAGGGCAGCTTTTGGTATGGCTTGTGGGGCTGGCATGGAGGAAGGAGCTGGGCGTGCCAGGGTCCTCTTGTTGTTTCTTGTCACAGAGCAGAAAGCAGGGCAAGCTGGGCACCACCGGGCTGCTTGGGGCTGCGAAAGCCTGGGGAGATGGGGCCGTGGGTGTTTGGGAACTCTGCTTTTCATGCAGCATCTTCCCTGGAGGAGAGTCCAAACCATTTGGGTCTCGGCAAATTCCATCCTTAAAGCGGTAGCTGGATCTGCTCTGGGCATGACCTTTTCAGCATCTGATGAAGTGAGCTCAGACTCACGAAAGCTCATATATCTCTGAGCTAGTCTATAAGGTACATCTCCACCCTGTCTTCTGCCTGACTTCAGGCTAGCAGGGTGAACAACCTCTCTCTGCTCATGGACATGCCATGAGAGAGAGCTTCAGACTGGCGCTAAGACGAACTGCTTACTGAAAGGGTTAAGCCTGCTGGAAGGCAGCTGCCGCCTAAGGGGAAGTTTGTACCAGCACAATGTGTTATTGCCTTCTTATTCCGCTTTATTTATATTGCTCTTGCCTCTGGAACAGAGCTTCATCAGGCAGTGCCTGGAGAACAGGACACTACAAAGGTCCTAGAGGGACATCACTTTTCAGGGGCGGGGAGGTCATCCTGGCAGGCTGCAAGCTGGGCCCTGATCCTGGCTGTGCCATTTCAGGAACCAGGGAGTGCACTGAAGAGGGAGGGTGCAGGGAAGAGGGAAGTCCGTGTTGCAGGTGGTGGTAGCCACTCTGTGAACTGGCTCAGCTCATTCGGGCTGCTTTGGTCTCTTGGCAGAGGGCTCTATGGCAGGATCCTGTGAAATCAGCAATATCTTCTCCAACTACATCAGTGCCATGTACCAGCCGGAGGAGGTGCAGCTGCCCCTGGACCTGCTCACACACCTCGGGGAGGAGAACAGCTTGGGGCTGAGTGTGGCCAGCAGCCAGCTGCCTGTTGAAACTGCAGGTGGGGGCCTATGGGGATTGCCATCCATGCTGGCAGACTTGGGAGGCCACGGGCAGGAAGGGAGGGATCTCTCCTGGAGTAAAAAGGAGGCAGTTACCTTACGATTAGCACGCAGGCTGGAGTTCTGGTGTCACCTCAGCCCTGACTTTCTGTATGACCTGGGATGTGTCCCTGTGCCTCAGTTTCCCCTCTGTAAGATAGGGGTCATGATACTTGCCATGGCCACCCAGCAGGAGTAGTAAGGTGCAAACTGTTCATTCCTGTGAAGCTCCGTGCGGAGCTCGGAGGCTAGAGGGCAAAGCATTACAGTGCCCCGGTCCATTTTGGGAAGCTGGAGGGACCATGGTGGGGCAGGTTGCAATGTCCATCTGATTGCTTCTCAGGCAGCAGGGTGGGGGCTCCTCTCAGGGTAAGAGGCCAGGCCAGGCAAGCCAGTGGCCAGCTGGAGCAAGGGGATTACTGGAGTGCCCTTTAGGAAGAGGCTGGTCCCCCTCTGAGGGTTGGGTCCAGCCTTGATCATCCCCATGTTCTGCCAGGGGGTCCTGCTGAGTGGGTCCACCCAGGGGGTCATAGGGAAATGGCCACATGAGGGGTCATACTGAGACAGGCCACTCTGGAGGCTTCCCCAAACAACCATGACCTGCCCTTGGTCTCCTGCATCCGAGACCCCCATTGAGGAGTGGGAGAGCAGCAGGCAGCATGGAGAGAGGGACCCTGGTAGGCACCACAGTGCAGAGTCTTATCACCACCTGCGACATTGGGGTGCTGTGTGGGGTGGGGGGGGCAGGGTATGTGGGGCTGGGAAGCTGCTGTTCCTGACACACCTCACCTGTGGTGGGGTGCGAGAGCGACCTGAGATAAGGGAGCAGGTGGCTGGCATAGCCATCCACCCAGCAGTGACTAAGCAAGATAAAGCCATGATGTTCTGGGCTGGGCTGGGCTGGCTAGCCCTGCCCCGGGGACGCAGAGCCAAGGTGCGCCGAGAGCCCCTCCCTGACAGGCACCTGCCCTGCTAGCCCCACCGAGCGCTATCCCTGAACCACTGCCCTGTTCCCTGCAGATAAGCCGACGTGGTTCAGTGAGCTCCCGCACCTCTGGAGCAAGGCCCAGGTGCTGGAATGGATCAGCTACCACGTGGAGAAGAACAAGTACGACGCCAGCGCCATCGACTTCTCTTGCTGCAACATGGACGGCCTGACACTCTGCCACTGCACGCAGGAGCAGCTGCGCAACATCTTTGGGCCCTTGGGGGATGAGCTGTATAATCGCCTCCATGAGATCAGTGAGTGCTGTGATCTGGCCTAGGCTGGGCAGGGCCGTGGGGAGGGGGAGATCAGTGAATGCTGCAACTGTTCCAGGCTGAGGAGGGCTTTGGGGAGGAGGGAAGTGGGCTCTTGCTCCCAAGCCAGCCCCCCCTCCTGTTAGCATGGGAGGTTTGGATAGTGCAAAGTGGCACTTGGTGGGATTTGCACCACAGCAACACATGCTCACTCAGGCCCCTGGGAGTGGGAAGCTTCAGTCAGGAGAGCCCATAGGCATCTATGGGATCCACTGAGAGAAGGGGGAGAGCACAGGGCTGACACTGCAGCATGTGTACTTCCCCACTATACAGGCCGAGCACATCTAATCCCAGCCCTGCTTCCTCCCAAAGACTTGGCCTCAGATGAGCTCGGCTGGATCATTGACCTGCTGGAGAAAGACAGCGTGGCTGTTGCCCAGGAGACCTTCCTTGACTCCAACCCCCTAGGTGAGAGAGCACCCTGGCCTTGCACTGTCCATGTGGCCACATACATGAGTTTGAACAGGGCTGACCCTTTCCTGCCTTCTCCATTATACCTAGATCTGGGAAACTCATGCTCGCAGGAGTCCCTGGAGGAGATGAAGTCCGCAAACCCTTTCCATCAGGCAGACTTGGGCTACCTGCTCGGCACCATGTCTCCAGGAAGCTCTGACATTTCAGGTAAACTCCACTGCTCGTGCTCAGCATCATGGCCTGCTTGGCCTTTGGCCCAGGTGTGGCACATGCCAGCCCCGTGTGCAGAGTGGAGAGGCGTGCTTCTTGTATGCCCCTCTTCCCTTCTCAGAGACAAAGCAGCCCTGTGTCATTGTTCAGTGAAAGCCTGGCCCTGCCACCCTTGGAGCAGCTCATGATGCTTGGCAGGAGTGTTCCCCAGGTGCCCCACGAGGCCCAGCCCCCTGCCCCCTTGCTGATGGATCTGGTCAGGTGATGGCTGGAGTTGCTTTCTGCTGCAGAGAAGTATTTGCTGGATAGACATGCCTGGAAATCCAACCCCTCTCCCTTTGCCTTCCAGGGACCGTGATGTCTCACAGCCCCAACTCCCAGGACTCCGGTGGAAGTGACCTAGATATTGACCCTACAGAAGCAAAGTTGTTCTCCCCTGATGGTGAGTTGCTGCTTTCCCACCTGGAGGGGAATGAGTTGAGCTTATTAATGAGCTTATCAGTGGGTGCTTTCTGCTCTCCAGAGATTTGATTGCCATAACAACAGTATGGGCATGCCAACCTAGCCAGGGCTCAAACCAAGATAGGAAAGGTGTCATCCTACTGGGCAGTGGTGACGCATAGGGGGTGTAGCCTGTGCACCCCCTGAGAGAGCTGGTGCACCCCCTGTCAGGCCACACTCCCTGTTTAGCTGGCGGGCAGGGGGGCAGGTGGGAGCACCAGTGGCTGCGGGACTTCTGGAAGTGGTGTGGCCGCTTTTTGGTGAGTGAGATTGGCCACTGGGGGATACTCCCCACCATGGTTGCCGACTCAAGAGGCACCCATGCTCCTGGGAACAGTTTGGTCTTTGGTTCCCTGGGCTGTGGATGATGGCAGGAGAGCTGGTAGTGCCCTGGAGAGGCCTGCTTTAACTATCTGTGGCAGTGGGGGTCAGCCACCAGAGACCCCAAAGCCTTGGCAGCAGGGTGTGCCTCTGCAGCGCTGAATAGGGTGGGGCTCTCAGTGCCCTGTGCCCAGACACATTAACTAAGAGGAAGGGTGGGCATAAGCAGCCAGGAAGAAATTTAGGCTGCAAATGAGAAGGTGGGGTCTGGATGAGAAGCTAGGCTGGAGCAGGGAAGGTTGGGAGCAGCCCCCAGCCATGGGTTGCAGAGTCAGCAGCTTGTAAAAGGGAGCGTGATAAATAAGTTCTGCAAGGGATCATGTGGCGTGATGCTTGTGTTCCTGTTGGACTGTGCCAGGGCACATGGGGAGCACTGGATATCGGAGATGTGGGAGGTGCCCTGTACAGCTGAGCAGCAGCCACCTGTGAGATGTGGCCCCATTCCCCAAGCCCGAGGAAGGAGCCCAAGCACAGAGCACCATAACACTTCTTCCCCTCGGTTTCTGCTTGTAAGGAAAGAGGAACCAGGGCCTGAGGCTGCTCAACTCCCATAGTGAGGACTGTGATACAGACACCTGGACAGGCCAAATAACACATTTTACCTCCTCCTGTGCAGGTGGCTTTGCTGACCATAAGAAAGGGGAAATGAAGCACGGCAAGCGGAAAAGGGGAAGGCCCCGGAAACTCAGCAAGGAGAACCGAGACTGCCTGGAGACCAGGAAGAGCAAGCACTGTACGTGAGGGGCTGGCTGGGCTTCGTTAGGGGGTGTGCTGGGCTGGGCCCCTGAATATGCCCTGTCTCGTTCACATGGTGAAGTGAATGGTGGAAGCAGGACAGGTGGCCCGTCTATGTTGGGATAGCTGGGAGAAAGATTGGGGACCCATTGTCTATGGAGCTCCAGTACCATGCACAGTGGAGCCCTGTGCTTTCTGGCTGGGGGGCTGATAGCCAGGGCTAGTGGGCCCGGTCACCTCTCCCGGGCACAGCCTGAGGAGGTGGCTGGGCTTCAAGGGAGTGCCAGCAGGCTGTGGAGAAAGAGACACCTCCTCCCTCTGGTTCTGGGACAAGAAATGTTTGGTCCTGCAACCCTGGTCCCCGCATCACTCCAAGCCGCTATGCCCCCGCCTCACCCCACAGGATGTGATGGGGGTAACGCAGCACCTTTGTAAACTGTGCTGGGGGGTGAGATCATCAGTAGGGCTCAGCCCCTGGCTTGGATGGGATGGGAGATGACCCTGAGCAAGCCCTCCCCAGCCACTCTTCCCAGGCAGCAGTTACTGGGATCTGCTCCTGCTGGACTGTGTGGGCAGGGCACTGCCAGCACAGCCCGCAGCTCATGCCTGCTGCAGGTCTCAGCCCAGGCCTGCCGCCTCCTCTCCTGGGGTTGGGGTGGTGAGATTGCAGCTGCTGCCTTTCCTGCATCGGCTTTTCCATTGCAGCTCCAAGAGGGACCCACCTGTGGGAGTTTATCCGCGACATCCTGATCCACCCAGAGCTGAATGAGGGGCTGATGAAATGGGAGGACCGGCGCGAGGGGGTCTTCAAGTTTCTCCGCTCGGAGGCTGTAGCTCAGCTCTGGGGACAGAAGAAGAAGAACAGCAGCATGACCTATGAGAAGCTGAGCCGGGCCATGAGGTGAGCACCCTAGGGATGCCCTGGGGACATGGGACAGGGAATGGAGCCTGAGCCAAGCCCCGTGGCTAAACAGGCTGTAGGCCCGTGAAAAGCTCTGTGCCTTGCAGACTCCCCCAGACTCCTGACCCTAGCCTAGTGCCTCACACCCAGCTTTCCCATAGGGAATGGCTTCTCTCCCCTCCCTGTGACTCCTGCTACCCACAGCTCCTGGCTCTGCCCCTCCCAGAGAGGTGCTGGCCTCTGCACTAGCATATCTGGTTGACTTGCACAGAGTCCTGATCTCAACCCCTTCCTTTCAGGTATTACTACAAGCGGGAAATCCTGGAAAGAGTTGATGGAAGGAGGCTGGTGTACAAGTTTGGGAAGAACTCCAGCGGCTGGAAGGAGGAAGAAGTGTTGAACAGGAGTAAAGAGCTATAGGAGCCTTACATGAACTCAGGCATTGCCCTCTTGGCCCAGGGGCAAGACCCAAAGCATAATGCACTGAACCCAACCCTTGCACCAGAGACTTGGCCAGATGTTGGAACCCAAAGCTGCCGTTGTGTGCAGCGTGTTAGACTCCAGCCCCTTCCTAGGGGCAATGGTGTGTGTGCTGGTTCTTTGCCAGTGCCTCAGTATCGAAAGCTGATATTTTGGCTGAAGTAGGTTATTGTAAACCATTATTTCTGTTGTTAACATGTTGGACTCTATTCTCCAAGTGGACTTACAGTGACCTGCGCTTTCTTGAAGCATGTCTGAAGCTCACAGTGTGGAAGGGACATGTGCTATTTGCAGTGATCAGATTCCAGGGAGCCATATATAGGATGGTCCAAAGCAGAACATAGCAGGGATTCCTGGGTACCACTGCAGTGGTGGCCCAGGAAACTGGATCTGCCACTCTGCCACTGGGGAAGCTGGCCTGCCACCTCACCTGTTACTGAGTTGGAATGAAGAGAACCAGCTCAGATCCCTGGGGCCTTGCAGAGCCTTCCCTTTCCACTACATGTTTTGCCAGCTGTGCTGCTGGTCCCACAGGTGATGGACAAGTAGCATCTGCCCTGCAGCTGTTGTGGGAATGGCTGTGTTCTGCATTCACAGGCAGATGCTCAGCCTGGCTGATTGGCTCCTACAGCATAAGTGACTGTGGGCTCAAAGCGAGTCCAAAAGAACCATGAATTTTAGGTGGCTCCAAAGGGACCATGGTGAGGAGCAGGGCACTAAGCAGCATCTCAGTTCTGGTATCCAGGGAGTGCACATCCATGAGCCAATATACCATCAACCATCTCTCTGAGATCTCTTCTCCCACCACATGCGGTGTCCTTTCCCCAAGAGTGGATTGTCTCCTGCTTCTAATTTATGTAATATAAACAGAGAATATATAATGTATATAAAAATCTATTTTTTCATAAATAAGGTTGTTCCTGTGTGATTGCGAGTGTCCTAGAAGCACTTGGCATTTGCAAAGCAATGATTGTAGCTAATTTTCAGCTGGACTGAAATTATGTTATCGTGGCATCAGTGAGCTGGTCCCACAGAGGGCTCTGGGCCATGTGTGAGGTTTTCTCCTTTTTTAGTAATAAACATATCAGAAATAAATCATTGCTTTTTTAACTGTGTGTAATTAGTTTTGGTCATCATTGTTGCTTCTGCAATGAAGGGGTTGAGGGCCCAACCTGGGGAGGAACCAACCTCTATCTTTCCATATGCTCTGCAGTCATCTCTCCTGCCTGGAGCTCAGAGTCCTCAGTCCTACTGGTACTGGCTCCCCCAGAAGAGGCTCCAGGATTTCTGGTGGTAGGAAGAGATGAGCTGAGTCTCTTCCTAGCATAATAGGGGCCAAGGATGGTGAACTGGGCCTTCTTCCAGACTTCAGATGCCAGCTCAGCTGTACAGGCATGTCTGTAAGCTATTTACATTGATTTCAAACTACTTGAACTAGTAACAAGACAAAGATACAAAGAAAAATGCTATTTGCTGATAATAATGCAACCAGGCACTTCAGCATCTCTGCCCATTCCAAGTAGGCAGACCGGGACACGCACTGCAAAGACTTTTTTTTGTTTTTTTGAAAAATGTATTTCTATATTTTATTTATACACACACACACACACACCATCTGGCATACACTTTACATCACACACCTTAAACCACATTAAGAAACCACGCAACCATTACAATAAACACACCCATTCCCCTGTGCCCCCACACACCACCAACCTGCTGCCCTTCCCTAACCCAATCACAGTCCTTTAGTCTAAGCCCTGACGGGTTTACATTCTCAGTTCATTCAGTGTCCTTTTCCCTGTTGATGTAGCTGTCACTTCTGCTGCTGCTGCTGATCCTGTTGCTGTCTTCCGTGCTGTCTCCAGGTCCAGTTGCGTCATTGTCCTCTCCGTTCCCCCTGTCCACTTCCCCTCCCAGGGGGTGGTCTTTGAACAGCCTGAGCCAAGTGTCCCTTTTCCAGGTGGAGTTGGCTGCGTCTTCTCCATCCTCTCTCACTGCTTTCTGGTTGTAGGACTGGCGTTCACTCAGGAACATTTTAACACAGTCTGTTTCCTCGAGCTCAGTGCGTCTGTACATCAGGAGGTTCCTGCATTGCCACAGGGCGCTTCTGACGCAGGACACAAACTGGTCAAAGCAGGTTGTCGGGGACCCCTGCTGTTTATTCAGGTGTCCGTATAGTGCCACCTCCCTTGTCATCAGCCTAACCCCTGTCACCTCTTTGCGGAGCTGGCTTACCTTCTTCCACACTCCCTTGGCATCGGGGCAGAACCACAGGAGGTGGTCGATGGTCTCGCTTTCATCTTGGCAGCTTTCCCTGGGGCAGCTGGGGCTAATCCCTCTTCCCTCTCTGTATCCCCACACCCTCACTGGGAGTGCATGGTGCATTATTAGGCAGTTCACATCTGTGTGGTCCTCTCGTAGGTCCTTGTGGAAGATCTGGTCCCAGATGGCTTGGAAGTCATCTTCATGAAGCAGCCCCATGGTCAATAGCCTCTCTGTGTCTGGCTGCCTTCTGTATCTTCCTGCGGTTGGTCATAGTCGCCAGCCTTTCCTTCTGTAGCCTGTACTCACTCCAGAACTCATTCAGCACACTAGAACCAGGGGTGCTCCACAGTGCACCATCTCTGTTTGGCTGGAGCGTACGGTCCCCATGGTCTCAGGAGGCGACCTGCAAAATACTTGACAAGATAGGCTGTTTTGGTCACTGGCCCAGTTGCCAGCTTGCAGATCTGGCTTGTGTACCATGCCCGCAGGAACAGGTGGGGCACAGTCCCCCTGCAGTGCTGCGCCAGCTACAGCTCTGGCAAAGATTCTGACTGATGGGGTGAATCTCTGCCCTGGCTACTGCTCATGTGTCCCCATGAGTGGCTTGATTTCTTTCAAGAGGCCACAGGGGAGACAAAGTCTCTGTGCCCATTGATGAGGAGTCAGCCCCATGAGCTCTGCGTGGGGTCAGATCCTTTCCCACCTATTGAGCATCTATGTGCACTTAGGTGTCTAAGTGTGATACTACATTGCATTTGACTCAAGTCCTGAAAATCTATTCATGTATCTGGTTTTGTAACACTCTGTCATCTTACTCTTTGAGCCTGAGGCACACAAAGCAGCAAGAAAGAGGAGAAGGATTCACTTCTCTCTTGTATTAAGTGTTTTTCAGGGACCTGAGAAGGGTGGAATAGAATGGCACTGAGGGAGGTAATTTTCTTTCCCTTTGTACATTTAAATGGCAGCTTTTTAGCTTTGAGTGCCAAAAATACCCCTTACATACATGTAATAGCTGTATTACCCCTGCACTGTGGGTACATAATAGGTGTATGTACACTGAGCTAGCTCAGTAGGCCAGGCACTGGCCACACACATGTGCCTGCTGTGGACAGGTACTGGCATCTATGACACAAAAGTGTCAGCAAATAGAAACCCATGACTAACAGGTCTTTGACTCCAATGGCAGCAGCAGCTCCTCTCATGTTTTGGCTCAGTAGCCTAGTGCTTAGGGCACTCTCTCAACAGCCAGAGACCCTGGTTCCAGGTCCCTTTGTTCAGAGGGGGTTTGGAGCTGCATCTCTGACTGCCTAGCATAGTGCTCCAAACACTTTTCTACAAGCTAGGAAGACCCAGAGTCTTCTCTGGTGTTGCTTTTGAATCTGGCTCCCTGGGTGGCCAAGAAAAGAGAGCATGTGGGACAAGGAGAAAAAAGAGCAAACTATGCCTTAGAAAGGAGCAGACCCTGGGTTCTAGCTTGGATCTCTATTCCAGGGGGCAGAATTTTCCTAGTGCTCTCCATCCGTTTTATCTAGGGACCATTCAACACAGGGGGCAGTGGCTCACATCCAAACACTGTCCCAACTATGCAGTGGCTAGGGCTAAACCATGGGAGCTTCTGCCACACCCTCCTTTTTTCTTGGGCTTGCATGCAGGTCTGTGTGTACCCAGGCTATGGGCATGTGTGCACACACAGCCAATGTAGTGTATTGCATTGTATTGTATTGCAATGCAGTACAGCCAATACTTAACCTGGCAGGGGAGACACCATGATGATGGTGTTGATCCAGGTGGCTTTACTGTATCTGGAAGGGAAGATCCCCTTCTTCTCAGCTTTGAATGCCTTGATGTAGTTGAGGGTGGAGACCTGTCCATTGCACTGCAGGCAGCACCCCAACAAGAATCTACTATAGCCTCCCAATTGAAGAATCTTAGCTATACAATTTATGGTGATGGGGAATTGCTCTTGGGATTTCCCTCTAGCTTGCTCCTATGGCCTTTTGACTAAGGGCAAGTGAGACGAGGGGGCATCTGAACCCTAAAGCCTCTGGGCTTGCATGTAGGATACCTGGCCTGCCATGGAATTTGGCAGTATCTGAAGCCCAAGACTGATAAGTCCAGGAGGTAGGATACTTGCTGGTGGTAGCACTACACAGACCTGAACAACTGAGCTTTGCTTGGCTGATGAAAACTGGAGCTGATTTGGCTAATTTGGCCTGAAAAACAAAATTAAAAGAACGCCCCACAGCAAATGCAGTGTACGCACATAGGCTCACGTGCCCAAAGTATAAAGCAAGAATCAAACAAAGATGGCTAGGTAGACAGCTAGAAAGCCACTCTTTAGACATGGGAATGGAATTCCACCGAGTCCACTTATGTGCCTAATGGGTGGAACAGAATCTGGCCCTAGAGCCATGGCCCCAATGGGGACACCAGTCATAAATGGCAAGTGCTCTTTCCAAACAGCTGTACCATCTCCTTTGCGGCTTCTCATAGTGACTAACTTAGTGCATGGATGCAGTACAGAAAAGAACAATGGCTCCTTCCCAGTTTGGCACTGGTTTATCAGCTGGCTCTCCAGCCAGGAAGGGACAGCCCAGTGGCTGCAGCAAGGACAGAGGAAAGGGGAGGGATGGTGACTCAGGAGAGTGCTGTGCCACCGAATAGCCCAGCGGTGGCTTCCTTCCAGAGGAGAGGTGGGTGGATCCCTCTCCATCTGGCTCAGGTGAGCATCACCTTGCATGCTCTTCTTGGAGGTTGGAAGTTGGGAAGAGGCAGAAGTAGACTAGCTGGCTGGTGAGAAGGGGTGGGGGCCATGTTGCTAACATGAGCTGAACAAATGGAGCTCCCAGCACCTCTCCTCCAGCAGCAGGGATTTCAGACATCTGTCAGCCCTTGCACCGGGCTCTTTCTTGAGTTCTCCTTATCTATCAGTGCCCTTTCTGGAGTGTGGCATCAGGGATGGGCACAGAGACACAGTAACCAACCAGTCTCCTCTGAGCCAAACCTAGAGGCAATGCCTACTTAATGCTGCCTGGTTTACGGTCCCACAAGACCTTCACAACCACCTCGTACTTGGAGCTTAGGCTTAGCTGGTTTCCACCCTGGTGTCCCAGCCCCTTCCAGAGTCCCTGCTTTGCAGCCCTCCATCCTGCATAGATGGAAGTGCCTGTTGGATCATCTCAGTTATGCACCTGATGGAAAATGCTCTGATCCCAGGACTTGCTTCACATGGCTGCAGTGGGAACTAGAGCTAGAGCTTCTTGCTGAAGCATCTCCTTGGACTCTGTTGAGGCAAATGACAGCTCCTTGCCCTTGGTAGTTGGTGGGGGGAGTGGGGTGCAACAGGCAAGGAGCATGGCTGCTGCTTGCTGCGTGTAGGGGGAAGGGCTCTGGCAGGAGGCAGGGCCCCAACCTGACTGCTTTCCATCCTTACTCCTCAGCCAAGGGCAGTTGCTGCTGCGCCCTGGCTATGGGGGAAGGGACTAGGCTGCTGTCCTAAGTGTACAGGCATGTACTGGCTGCAGGACGATACTAGATCTCTGTGATCACAGCCTTCCTGAAAGCTTGATGAAGAAGGCCTGGTCATCTGGTTGCAACACCCACTGGAAAAGAGCTCTCCATATGAACAGACTCAAGTTGCTCTTCAACAAAAGAATGGCTGAGGAACAATGCTGGCCTTCATGCATGTGTGGGAAAGGGGGTGGTTCACTTGCAATTGCCATGGAGGACATCTGATAGACTCTTATCAAACCTGCTGTACCAATGTGCTTTTAAGGCTTCTGTATCCCAGATGTTCCCTATAGCTTGGCGAGTTTATGGACAGCACCAAGGGCCCCTGTGC